AAGATAAAGATACAATGAAGGGTATACTTCGTGAAAAGCAAGAAAGTAACTGGACAATCGAAGGCGGTTGGCGCTGTTTGGTGGCATGTAAGTGTCTAAAAATGTTTAAAGTTTTGAAACTTCTAATGAACCTTTGATTGATGTTAACGTCAAAGCGAAGCGAAGCTGTTGTCGTGTATTGTGTGGATTTTGTTTATTTTGAGTCTCCTCTGTGTTCTCTCTACGTTGCTTTTATCTACAAACTCTTACTCTTGGACAATTGCCGTTAGGTCGTTATTTTCTGCGCGTTCCCTCGCGGGCTTTTGAGTTGGCGCTTAAACGTCATCGTTTCATTCTTAAAAAATATATTTTTTTTTTTAACTTTTTAATATGAAAATTTAGATTAAAACGACGCATCACTTGACATGAATGCGTTGAGATTTTATAATATTATTTTATTTAATAAATTTATTTGTTAAATATTAGTCAAAAACATCTAAAACCACATAATTGGTTTAATTAAAGGCTACCAAATTGCATTAGGTGCATCATAAAAAAGGAAAGTCACAACTATCTAGGGTCTGTTTGGTTCACTCTTGGAAATACTATTATTATTATTCCCAATAAAATTAAACAGTAAAAATGACTTATTTTTAAAATATTATTCTATATTATTCAATTTCTCTTAATTATAACTTAATATTGCTCAACAGTTAGGATTATCACGTCATTTGGTACATAAATTTGGTGTACTACTTTCGATGACTGTAGCATTACTCTTTTTTTAAACCCCTTTAAATTTGTTAATTTAACTAAATATCTCCAAATATTTTTTTTTGAAATTGTAAAAACACTCCGACCACCCTCTGACGGTGGTGACCGACTGTCTGTATTTAATGGGTGAGTTAAATGTGTTTTTATTAACTTTTAATATTTTATTATAAGAGTGTTTAGTAAATAAATAAACATAAAAGACATTTTTATTAATTTTCAAATCCTACACCAATTTAATTTTTTTCAAGATATTATTTTAAAAACTAACCAAACATACCCCTAAAACCACATAATTGGTTTATGTCTCATTTAATCGCTCAAATCATTGGTCTATTACCGGATATATCCTTTCCTCTAATGGGATGTCTGTGGTCCAGTACTGGAACTGGATGTTGTGTTTGCCCTAACAAGATGCCTAAAATTTACAACATCATGACCATTTAAAGGTCAAGATACTGTCAATCAGTCAACAAAATGATGTGACTTGCGAATTACAGTAATTATTGAGTTGGAACAAAACATTTGGCAAGTACATAAATTATTAAGAAATAATCAAAGTTGAAGTCTTAGCCATGATGAGTACGATGAGTGTTCAAAAAAATATAAAAACTGAATTAAATCGGTTTTTTGGATAACTAAAAAGTTAATTCGATTTCAGTTCAAGAAAATATATAAACCAGAAATTTAGTTTAGTTATCAGTTTAAATAAATTTTTAACCGGTTTATAAAATTTGTTTCACTTTAAAATTAAAAAACTCTAAATCTTCAAATCTGTTTCTATTTATCCTTCACCCTTTATGCATTTCTCTTCAATCCTCACTGATTTTCACTTTTCTCTTCCCTCTCAAAATAAAAACTAAGTTAAATTAAGGAAAAATCAAAATAAAAAACAAGTTAAAGGGAAAACTGGTTCAAAATCGATTAATAAGTTTTTTAGTTAACTAAAAAATCGGTTTTTTCCTTAATCGGTTCGATTTCGATTCAAGAAAATTCTTAAACCGAAAGACTAGTTCAATTCAAAAAATCGGTTAAGCGGTTATGAACATCCCTAAATTCTACATATGCTCTAACTAGAGGAATGGAAATTATTGACAAAGGCTTTGAAAAAATTAAACCCTTATGTACTTAATTAAGGTAATTTTCTAACCACAAAGGATATAATAACGTGGCATCATTTTATAAGAATTTATTTAGACCCCATTAAGATCATGAAAATTGTATAGTATCACCTCTCTGTTTCCAAGTGTATGGTTGAGAAAGAGTGAGATAAAACTCTCCTACTTGCTTTTGGCTTCTACTTGCCATCAGCTTTCAAGAAGTGATTTTGGATTGAAAAAGCACTTCTCTCTAGAGCCTTCAAGATTATGAGACTTAACCAGTAAATGCCAAACAGCAACTACTGGAAACATCCTATGTTTCCCTTATTTAAACAGCTTCTGACTTTTCCCTCCCAAAACAACAAAGTACACACCACATTAACAAAAAATGTCTCCTGCTGTATCTCTGTCTATCTCCCATCTTCCTCTCTGCAAAACTCAGGATTTTTCTAAGGACACCCTCCTTCCGAGAAGAACTTTTAGAGAGAACCCATGTCAGAAAACACCTCTAGATGTCAAACTGACTAAAAGAAACTTGTTGAGTTCCACTGCTTTGGGGCTTATTGGCGGGGGACTGTCAATGGCTCAGCCTGCAAAATCTGCTGAACCTGAGAGCCCAAGTGAGTCCACTTCAAGTAGAATGTCATACTCAAGATTCTTGCAGTACTTAAACGAGGGTGCTGTGAGGAAAGTAGACCTGTTTGAGAATGGAACCGTCGCGATCGCCGAGCTTTATAATCCAGCTCTCGAGAGAATCCAGAGGGTTAAAGTGCAGTTACCAGGATTGCCTCAAGAGTTGCTCCGGAAAATGGAAGAGAAAAATGTCGATTTTGATGTTCATCCAATGGATTTCAACTGGGGACTTGCTTTGTTAGATTTTCTAACAAACTTTGGCTTCCCTTTGCTATTGCTTGGCTCGTTGTTTTTGCGTTCTTCTTCTACAAACACTCCTGGAGGTCCAAACTTGCCATTTGGACTTGGAAGGCAAGTGTTTTTAGAATTTTCTTCACTCTAAATGGCCTTAATTGTGCTCAAAATAGTGACTAACTTTGATATTTGGAAGCAGGAGCAAAGCCAAATTTGAGATGGAGCCTAATACTGGAGTTACGTTTGATGATGTTGCTGGAGTGGACGAAGCAAAGCAAGATTTTCAAGAGATTGTCCAATTCTTAAAAACCCCGGAGAAGTTTGCCGCAGTCGGTGCGAAAATTCCGAAAGGGGTTCTTTTAGTAGGGCCTCCAGGAACAGGGAAGACATTGTTGGCAAAGGCCATAGCTGGAGAAGCAGGGGTTCCTTTTTTCTCTCTTTCAGGATCAGAGTTCATTGAGATGTTTGTTGGAGTTGGAGCTTCAAGAGTGAGAGACTTGTTCAACAAGGCAAAGGCTAATTCCCCTTGCTTGGTGTTTATTGATGAGATAGATGCGGTTGGGAGACAGAGAGGAACT